TCATTTCTTCTTCTATTCCTCCTGACCCCTCTTCCTCCTGGCCCCTTCCCCCTCCTCTTCCTGTCCCCCTACTCTCCCTCCTCCCCTTCCCCTTCCTCTTCCTGACTCCCTCCTCCTCCTCCCCCCCCCCCCCCCCCCCCCCCCCCCCCCGCCCCGCTCCTTGTACTAAAGGTTAATATTTTAAAGCTTTCTTTTAAATTTTCTTGTAAGAATTTTTGCTTTCTGTGTGGTAGCACAGCATTCAGATTGAAGATTGTGTTTGGCATTAGAAAGAAAAAAAATTTCTTTTATGTAGCTGAACTTGCATATGGGTGACAAAGATAATGGAAAACCATTACTAGCCATTCATAATTCTACATAATGAAGGTAGCTTTTGAAATATGTTGCATTTCATAGTTTTTAAAAAATACTATTTTTGTATCTCCCTCCTTAGTTTGATCTTCAGTAATGGTTTGTATACTTGTCTACATTTTTCTTCTTTGTAGACTTTCTTGTGGAATCATGTTGTTGGTTTTCACTTTGCATATTCTAAAAATGTGATGAATTCCCTTCCCTAGCACCCACTCACTGACGTCACCAAGAAAATATGTGGTATTTATAAGTAGATATTGGGATCCATGGTTTGGTTCATTTTGTGCATGATATACTTGATAACATCTTTTAAAAATGGATGAAAATGTTTGGGATTCATTTGTTGATACTGCAGTGACTTTTTGGGTGAAGCCTTCTCTCTTCAGGTTATACAATTCTGTCTGTTAATTTTAACCTTTATGTGTGTATGTATGCGTGCATGTTCATGTTTGTGTTTTTCCTGTCAGTGTAACTCATTTGTACTCAGCCCTTTTTTAGTCTTTTTTATTTTTCCTGCCAATAGGTCATTAACACTCAGGAATTCTCATTGGCATTTGGTTTCCTTGTTCAGTGGAGAGAGAAGCTCAAAGGTGGCATCTTTCTAGCTCTTTATTATTGAGACTATCTAGGAACCTCTAGGTAGGCAGTTGGCGTGCACATATACAGGCACCCTACATTCCACAGGAGTGTGGCATAGGGTTCTCACTCATCAGGCTTTCCCTTCCACAGAGACAACTGGCAGGCAGCTGAAAGGACTGTGCAAGTGACGGGACTTTATCTGCAGTAGGTTCCCTTGAGGTAAGCGTTAGTTGCCCCTGTAGCACCAGATTATCGCAGTTCAGTTTCTTTCAGATTAGCACATGTATACGAAGGCCTTTAAAATGGCAGGTTTAGTTCTAGTCAAAGTGCAGTTTTCAAAAACCGCATCAAGAATATTTTTTACTTTATTTCTCCTGGACTTTGGAATATTCTTGATATTTCTATAAGATTCAGTATGTGCAGTAATTTCACATGTTCCTCTTTCATAATCTTTTATGTTATGAAGGATAATAAAATAATTTTAGATATTCTTCCTTTCTGTTAAGCAAATAAGCGCTTTTTATAGTTTTTTTTTGTAACAGTAATATGTAGTAAAAGACCACCTATATAAGATTTTCCATAGGTGATAAAGTGTTTTATGTTTTCAGTTACCTGTATTCCCAGTACAAGTTATAGGTTGAATATTTGGATTCTTTTAGAGAAATTAATCTATAAAGGTCCCATTCCCTTTAAAGAGTTCCATGGCAATATCTTTAGTTGAAATTTTTTAAGTTACATTACATGTACATAGATTTATATGTATAACAGTTTTGACATTGGGGCAGTAATAGAAAATCTTGAAAAATTGTTTCACTTTTGCTGTCCTATGTTCTGTATATGAGATTTTTATGCATTGATAGTTAAGTTTAGTGGCACAATATTTTGAATTTTCTACGATTGTATATTTTCCCTAAAATTTAAAGATGTGACTTTCATTATTATTGTTTTGTTCTACATTTCCATGTAAGAAGTTACTTATCTGGGAAACGAGTCTCAGAGTCTCAGGGTCTTATCTCTATAGTAGGTACCTTAATTAATGAGTGTCCTTGAGATAAAATTTCATATATATCAAAATAGAAGTGTTCATAGGTCATTATTTAAAGGCACTGGAAATAAACTGTCATGAAGTAAAAGTACTTCCTTTAAGGTACACTGAGTAGTAAAATTTAGGTAGTATTCCCTTGACTCCTGATATCATTTATTCTTTTGGTAATCTATTTTTTTATTACTATTTTGAGGGATGGAACCAAGGGCATTGAGCCTACCAGGCAACTAATCTACTCCTTAGCTACATTTCCAGCTCCCTAATATATTTTTTAAATAATAGCTTTTGTGCCAGGAGTGGTGGTGCATGTCTTTAATCCCAGCACTCGGGAGGCAGATGCAGGCAGATCTCTGTGAGTTCGAGGCCAGCCTGGTCTCCATAGTGAATCCAGGCCAGCTGCGGCTACAGGCAGACCCTGTCTAAAAACCAACCAACCAAAAAAGACCAAAAAAATACAGCTTTTGTTTCTCTGAGTAAATAGTACTTGAAGATTGACTTGTTTAATTAGCTGTCCTCTCTCACCGAACCATACCCTAACCTCAGTTATTTTTTAACTTTTCTTTCTGACATTTATTTCTAAATTTTAATAGAAGTAGTGTGCACACCCTGTTTTGGTTTATTAGTTGGACATATCTGTTTACTCTTAGTACTTAGGATTTTAACTCACCCATGCCCGTCCTTCCATTCAGACTTCCAGAATCATTCTGTCTTCTTATTAAACCTGAAAAGAAGCACCTGAGAGTGAATGTCAGGTTGATTGTATACTTTAATTTACTTTTTTTATTTCAGTTCATCTGCAAATTACTTGATATATGAATTTGATTTGTTTCTAGACATAGAATTATAGAATTAAAAAACAGTTTTAGGGCTGGGGAGTTGTCTCAATCAGTAAAGTGTTTATTATACAAAAATGAGGACCTGAGTCTGAATTTACAGCACCCACATGAAATGCTAGGCCTAGTGGTGCGCCTATAACCCCAGCGCTAGTGAAAGGGGGTTAGACCTTTAGAGCTTGCTGGCCAGCTACTTGAGCCAGTCATTGAGCTCCAGATTCAGTGAGAGACCCTGTCTCAAAAACTGAGGTAGCAAATGACTAGGCAAGACAACCAACATTTACTTCTGGCTTCTGCATACAAACGTACACCTGCACACACATACACCACACTCAAATAAACATTTTCCTCTTGGTAGTGTGGTAATCTGCTAAGTGTAAAGGTGCTGGTTTTGTTTTATCTTACTTTACCTCACTCTAGGTATATTAAACAGGCTTCAAAAATTCAGTATAAGCTTGTATTGCAGATCAGTTATCTTCTAGTCTAGTCCAACCACAGAATATAAGAATGAATAAGACTCCATCTCTGCCTTCAGATGAAATCAGTATTTGGGGGGCAGACAGGTACTTAGCACTGTTCATGAGCAGTGTGGGCTGTACTGTAACAGATACAAGTACAAGGTACTATGAGAGCAAAGAGTAAGCACCCTCCAATTCTGCCTGCAAGGGAAAGTAAGACAAAGAAAAAGAGCCGTGTTATTGAGAGACTGAGTTCATCCCGAGGATAAGGCAAAGTGAGAGAAGGCATGCTGAGGGTTTGTAGTGTTTTTATTTTTGTATGGAAGCATGGCAAGGTTAGTTACTGAGATATGGTAGTGATTCTCAGTCCTAGCCCACCAGAGAAACATTTAAGAAATACCAAGCAGCCTAGCTGATTTCAGTAGTTAGCAATCTTCTGGTATGTGGAGACAGGCAGGAATGGTAGAAGAGGCAGAGGTCACATCTTGAAGGGCCTTGCATTTCATGGTAAGGAACTGGGATTTTAGATGATGGTTCCCACTTATCACAGTATAGAGGATGGAATTTGAGGGAGGGGAACCCTGAGTTACAAAGATGACTTCGTGAAGCAATTTTGCCTTCTTTTCAAAACTTCGAGCCTCTCAGCTTTAATATTAGGAGATGCTTTGAGAGAGGCTCTAATTGTCCTACTGTTCTCAAGCTTGGCTGGTAGACTCTGCTTTTCATTTTAGATTCTTTGTTTACTGAGAAGTTACTAAGACTTTCATCACCCAGGGCCATGCTTGTCAGACTTCAGTGTGCAAATGAATCACTTAGGTCAGAAGGTTGGTAACTTTTTTTTTTTTTTTTTGGTAAGCGCTTACATTCTACTAGATTAAAAAAGAAATAAGAGTTTGATAATACTGAGTAAAAAAAGGAAGGGGAATGTGCCTAGGATGATTAAAAGTTATCTTGCTTTAGTGCCTTTGAGATAGGCAACATAGAAGGTAGAATTGAATTCTGGATGATCTTGAGTTTACCTATCTATGGGATGACCATGTAGAGCTGGAGCTGGAGGTAGCAGAAGCTTATCTGTATCTTAGCTAAAGGTCAGACCAGAGATGAAGATCTAGGAGTCTTTTGCCATGGGTGTTTATAAAGGTATCTACATCTGAAACTGTAGACTGAAATTCCTAGAAGTTCCTGAGACTGTTGTCAAGGGGGTCCTCACGGTCAGAAATACTTGTTTATAGCAGTGCTGACATATTACTTGCCTTTTTCCCCCTCCTTTTATTTTCTTACAAGTTTATAGAGAACATTTCCAGGGGCCATATATGTGATACATGGTGACATCTTACTGATGTATGCCCCAATGTAGCAAAAATCTTGAAATGATAATACTGATAGTTGTAACCCACCCAAATAGTAGCTGTTTAGGGCTTCTGTTTTTTGTTATTTTGGATTTTTTTTTTTTTTTTTTTTTTTTTTGGTTTTTTTTTTTTTTTGGTTTTTTTTTTTTTTTGTCTTTTTGAGACAGGCTCTCCCTATAGCCCCAGCTGGCCTGGAACTCACTATGTAGAACAGGCTGGCCTTGAACTCATAAAGGTCTGCTT